TTCCATTTTCTCTTCTCTTCTTTTGTTCTCCAGAGTTTCCACATTGCAACTATGAACTGAAAAAAACAACTAAAATGTTTGCAGCGTTACAGTGTCTGGGCTTAGAGAACAAATCATTGTTTCCCAATCATAAATAACAATATAAAATTAATGATTAATTTTATTAATTAATGATGCTAGGAGACATACAATGTTGGAAATATCCATTTTTCAGGTGAAATTCTTGCATTGCAATGAAGGATGTTGGGACAGTTTTGCTTTGTTTTATTTTTCTACCTCTTCAAGCAGTTTTTCTCTGTAGTATTGGGCATTGCCTTGTCTTTGTTAATTAATAAATTTAATCATTAATTTTATATTGTTATTTCAGATTGTGAAACAATGATTTGTTCTCTAAGCCCAGACACTGTAACGCTGCAAACATTTTAGTTGTTTTTTTCAGTTCATAGTTGCAATGTGGAAACTCTGGAGAACAAAAGAAGAGAAGAGAAAATGGAAAGAAAAATGATAAGGACAATGCCCAATACTAAAGAGAAAAACTGCTTGGAGAGCTAGAAAGAAAAATAATAATAAATTATCCTTCATTGCAATGCAAGAATTCTACCAGAAAAAATGATATTTCCAACTCTTCTCTCAGTTCCAGTTAATAGGTGGTAGTGACAGGGTCAGAAAAATTTACATTGCATTACAGTCCCAGGTTGGCTGACAATTTTCAGAAGTTAGACACAGAATTAGTTTGGGGAGGCAACTGTTTTATGGGACTTTTAATCATTCTCTTGTATTTCACAAATTGCAAATTAAATTTATGAAATACAAGAGTAGGGTTTTATGTCGAAGATACAGTATAGCCACAGTCACCTGCCACAGATGAAAAGGAGTTGCCAGATAATCTTTTGAGGCTGTCCATAATATGCAGTTTGGTCTAAAAAGATGGCTATCTCCGTGTATTTGAAGAATGGTTGCACATGAATTAAGGTTCAATTTTGTGTGCCTGGGAACAAGTCAGGCTCTTTAAGGCAACAAGGGCTTCTGCTAAGGCATGGCTTAGTGAAAAGGTCTCTGTGAATGAGCAGAAATGGCAACCACTATGTAGAATAAAAGAACGGTGAGTATAGAGGAATTGTTCAAAGGTCTCCAGAGGAGAGAATAGAAGATGACCCATTAGTGTTCTGAACAGAAGCTCTTCATGAAGACCCTGTAAAATAGCGGGTCGCCAGTGAGTTTGAGCGCCAAGAGCCATTTGCTCTCATTTTGATATCCTATGAAATGTATCCTCATAACCAGAGGCAATTTGTAGAAACAAATCCAGGCAATTATTATTCAGCCTGGAAAGAATTAAGGAGGACTTAAGGTAATCTTCCATTTCTTAAGGCTTTTCTCTATACAAGACAAAAAGAACCATTTGAACCAGCTACTAGGATCAACATACATGGGGATTTTAAAAATAGATGTTTGAATGTCATTCTTTAAGTTGAACCTAATTTACAGTTTGTCTGATCCAAATGACAAAATCATTTGAGACCATCTGTCCATTTTGATTGTATTCACTTGAGATTCCATGTCAAAATTTATATGCACAGCAAGTCTATTTATATTTAGCAACAAATACGTTTGAAGCTTAATCCCAAGAGACATTTTGATAGCTAAGCCTCAGTCATGGCAATAAAATTATACAAGGAAGTATAGTAGGCAAAGATTTAAAAAAAAAAACATGTTAGAAATTGTCTAAATTACACATCCACTTATAGTTGAATGTTTTCCAGAAATGGAAATTAAATGGGTTCTTTTTTAAAAGCTCAAGGTGATTGCCTTGTTATAAAATATTATTTAAATCAATAGCTTATATTGTATCTGAACTTCAGTACAGTGTGATATAAATTATAGTAATGTAGATTCCATAGGTGTTAGATATTAGTTCTAACTACAGTGGTTTAATCCTATTGGTCGAAGGGCCTGACAGCTCCCTATAAAAGGGCTGCTGTCAGACTCAACCTTCGATGGATTTTTCTCACTTGTTGTACTTAATAAAGAGCTGTGGTTACTGTTAAGCCTGTGTGTGCCTATCCATTATCCAATCCAACATTGGTGACGAGGATGGGTTTGGAAGGCAACTAGGCGAACCAAAAAGAGCATAGCAATCCAGCAAGTGCATCCAGTCCGGAGCTTAGCGCAGCTTCAAGCAGTCATTTTTGAGCGGCAGTTTCAAAACGCCCTCTGGACATTCTGGCATACTGCGAATTCTGAGACCTGGACCAGCTGATTCTGGACCGCATAATTTGCAACGTGGAGGACATTACCCTACAGAGGAGGTTACTTGCTAAATCTAACTTCACTCTACAGATTGCCTTGGACGAGGACAGGGCGTCCAAATCAGCCGCCAAATCTACTGAGACTCTGCAGCGCCAAAGGGTTCCACAAGATGTGCGAAAGAGTATATGCGTACATCGCAAGGCTGCAGAGCCCGAGAGCTCAGAAGGCAAGGAAGATGACAGCTGCCACATGTGCAGTAGCTGCGCCCAGCTGGCACGCAAATTCAAATCGTGTCTCCCGTCTTGTGCTAGCTGTGGAGTAGACCATGCCAGATCAGCTTTCTGTTTCTGCGATGCAACCTGCCAGCGTTGCGAGCGAAAGGGGCACATCGCTAAGGTGTGCCGGAGCGAATTCCCTGCCACTGCCTTGCAGCCTAGAAGTGCACCAAGCTGCCAACAGAGGCCCAATCCAGGGGCCTGGCAGAAGCCACCACAGTGCTCAGAGGGCGACAATAGAGTTATCTAGCATACATCAATCAGCCAAGTCTGCTCCAGGCGGCCAAAAAAGCTGAAGACACACTCCTCATCTAGGAGTCTCCATGTGAGATGGATATCGACACCGGGTCATCACTGACTATCATACCATGGTCTACCCTAAAGCAGGCTATCCCTAGCCTAAAGAAGCAGCATCTACTCATCTCTGACATCTGCCTACGCGATTACCAGGGAAACTGGGTCCCCATCATGGGCCAAGGCACCTTCCAGGTGAACTTCAAGCAGTTCAGTGGGAAACTCCCAGTGACAGTGGTCAGNAGCGGTGTTACGCGGCAAATCTAGGAGCCGATAAATTTAATGACCTGACCAACGTAGGAACATCCATTGGTCTGGAATGGTATAGGGTCTCCGGCTTGGGCAGGAGGTTGGACTAGAAGACCTCGAAGGTCCCTTCTAACTCTGTTATTCTATCACACTGATCTTCCAATATTTGAGGGGCTGCCACCAAGAAGAGAGGGGTCTATTTTCCAATGAACCAGAAAGCAGAAGAAGCAAGAGATGGAAACTCATCAAGGAGAGAAGCAACCTAGAATTAAGGAGAAAATTCCTGACAGTGAGGACAATTAACCAGTGGAACTCCTTGCCACCAGAGGTTGTGGGTGCTCCATCACTGGAGGGTTTTAAAGAAGAAACTTAGTCAGCCATTTGTCTGGAACGGTCTTGGGTCTCCTGCTTGAGCAGGGGGTTGGACTAGAGGACCTCCAAGGTCCCTTCCCACTCTGTTTCTCTATGTTCTAAACCCCTTCAGTTGTTAAGCAAATCGCTCAGTCGTTAAGCGACTCCAGCTCCCCCCATGGACGTTGTTTGCGGCAAGCCCGCTGGGAAGATCGCAACTGGCGACCACGTGATTCCCGCGACTCGGCAACTCTTGAAAATACATGCCCAGGTTGTGATCACTTGATTGTGGCGATGTTGTGGCCCTTTTCAACACAAGGACCGGTTATAAATCCCGTTTATTTTCACAACCGTTTGTGAAACAAACAATCACTGAACGGACGGTCGTAAGCCGAGGACCACCCGTACAGCAACGCTGGGTTTGTGTTTGCAAGAAATCCATCTTCGTCACAGCTTTGGGCAGAGAGAGAGAGACGCAGCAGAGACGACCCCCCTCTTCCCTCCTATCAAGGCAGCTGGCGTGTTCCCCGGACACCCATCAGGTGAGCCTTGTGTGTTTGTGTGTCTTTTCCGACAGAGCCGTGAGAAAACAGACAGCTGGCCGCTGTGTCCTCGGTGGATGGTCAAAGCAACACGTGGCCGGGTTAGGCAGGTATATATAAAAATGCGATGGAAGAGAAGGGGTTCCTATTTGTTGCCCTGTTCGGTGACAATGAGGGTCTTGGTGGTCTTGGCGACTTTGCTGGCGGTGGCGTTTGCCACCGATACCTTCAACGGGTAGGTAGACACGGGCCTCGGATAGAAAAGGACACAGTGACCGGGGGAAGAGTTCACCGGGTGCCACTTTCGGACTCTTAGCAGCATCGGTCGCTGGACAGTTTGATAATTTGGGGTGGGGGGGCGTCCCTTCCCAGCCTCTAAGCAGAGCCCCTGCTATGTATGCTACATCTTTCTCCTTCTATCCTGGCCACTTTTTAAACGAGGCGCGATGGAGAGCGTTTTAACCAATCGCATCCCTGTTGGGTTTGGTGGCCGCAGCGCCTCAGATAGAAAGTCCCTACAGAGAGTGGTGAGGACAGTGGAGATTATAGTAAGCTTGCTTCCCGCTATTCAGGATACTGCTCATAAGCGCTATGTGCATAGAGCTTGAAGCATTGTTAGAGACTGTGTTGTTTCTCTCCTTCACACAATATATGCGGGTATATGCATCATTTTGTATTTATTTATCTTGTCATGTTCATGTGGTGCATATTGGAGGTGGTGACTCTTTGAGAGCTATATGCAACGAAATTTCATTTTAATATGCCGTTTTTTGGGGGGGGGGGATTCTGTTTCTGTCACCCACACAAACGTTGTGGAAGCTTCATCCCTGGAGACTTTCAAGAAGAGACTGGATTGCCCTCTGTCAGAAATGGTGTAGGGCCTCCTGCTTGGGTGCGGGAGGTTGGACTAGATGACCTACAAGGCCCCTTCCAACTCTTGTTATTCTGTTCCGCAGACATCAGGTGCTCAGAATCAGGGCTGCCGATGGAGCTCAGGTGGAGACGTTGAAGGAGCTGGAAGCTCTGGAGAATCTTCAGGTACTGATTAACAAGAACCTTTCCTATGATCAGCGGCCCGAATGATGAAGTTATTCATTAATAAAGAATGTTGAAGGAATAGGAAATTGTTCTTGAGCTATATAGGATGTGTTTCCAAAGTTCATATCTGCTGAATGTAACTCCTCATTGGTGACAGGGAGGCATCCGGCCAGTAAACATCTCCATTTAGTTGTCCAGACTCCACGCTGCAACGGAGGATGGGGTCGTTAAAAGAAGACAACAACGATGATGACACCATGTCAATAATCTTCTCTCTTCATTCTCATTTGGATGCGTAGCTGGATTTCTGGCGAGCACCGGCTCATCCCGACCTCCCCATAGATGTCCGCGTGCCCTTCCACAGCCTTCAAGGGGTCAAGGCCTTCCTGGAGACCAATGACATCCAATACTCCATCATGATCGGCAACCTTCAGGTGAGTGCTCTGACCACATGAGGTGGACCTGGAAAGGTTCTGGAAAGAACCACTCTTGCAATCTCAATAGATCTGACATCAGAAGCAACGTGTCATGGAGAAGGACATATGGAAGTGTCCCGAAGGTGCTTTTCCAAGAGGCCGTTTCTCAACCTCGGAGACTTTAAGTCCTGTGGACTCCAACTCCCAGAATCCCCCAGCCAGCATAGCTGGCTGGGGAATTCTGAGAGTTGAAGTCCACAGGACTTAAAGTCTCCGAGGTTGAGAAACACTGCCTCTCCATAATCATATTGAACTGTAATTCTAAGGGGATGCCACAAAAAGTGAGAGCTTTTTCCAAAAAACATTGAAGGTAGAAGAAGAAGAAGCAAGGGTAGAAGCTAATCAAGGAGAGATTCAACCTTAGGACTAAGGAGAAATGTCCTGATAGTTGAAACTGTTAATCAGTGGAACAGAAGTTATGGGTGCACCATCACCTGAGATTTTCAAGAAGAGATTGGGTAGCCATTTGTCCGAAATGGAATGAGATTTCCTCTGTGACCAGGGGGTTGAACTAAACCACCTCCCAAGACCCTTTTAACTCTGGTCTATGCTGTATGTTTTAGGCTCGTCACCCCAAAAATGTAGTGTAGGAAGTTGACTCTATCTCAATGTTGAAACACCATCGTTAAGAAGGTATCCCCCACAGACCATCAGATGTTTTGGGTCAATATTATGGATTGGAAGAAGTTCTAGGCTGCTCTTCCATCAGATGAGTTGGCCAACATGACCAAGGGCTTGGGGTTGGCTTTCCTGGAATTTTCAGAAGGTATGCAGTGGCTCAGGGGCTAAGATGCTGAGCTTGTCGATCAGAATACTCAGCAGTTCGGCGGTTCGAATCCCTAGCGCCGCGTAATGGAGTGAGCTCCCGTGACTTGTCTCAGCTTCTGCCAACCTAGCAGTTCGAAATCAGGTCAAAAAATGTAAGTAGAAAAATAGGAACCACCTTTCCTATTTTGGTGGGAAATAGGAAAGCGTTCCGTGCGGCTTCGGCCGGCCACATGATCACAGAGATGTCCTCAGGCAGCGCTGGCTGTTTGGCTTTGAAACAGAGATGAGCACTGCCCCCTAGAGTCGGGAACGACTAGCACAGAGGTGCAAGGGGAACCTTTACCTTCCTGAAATTCCTGGAAGGGTTTCGATGGATCAACGGGAGAATGGATTTGAGAAAAAGTCTTGATTCCGCAGAAGGATGGAGTGGGATTTAGCTCTGAGTGGAAGACGCAGAGGAGAGATTAACCTCCTGCTCAACTGACCCTTTGTGATTCTCCTCGTTGTCTCCTTCAGAAACTGATTGAGGAGGAGAGGAGTCAAATGATGCGCCAACGACAAGTCCAAGAGTTGTCACTCGCCAATTTTAACTTCGCGGCTTACCACGACTTGGATACAGTAAGTACATTTAAGGCATGGTGGGGGGGGGGGTCTCCAACCATCTTACGACTGCGAATATTTGAATTCAGTAGCGGAGGAGACTTCTAGAGCAGTGTTTCTCAACCTTGGCCAACTTGAAGTCCACCGGACTTCAAGCTGGCCAAGGTTGAGAAACACTGTTCTAGAGGACCACTTAGAGACCCCATTGTGGCATCTGCTCTTTGCTTGCTAGATCTATAGCTTCATGGACCTTTTGGTGCGCACCAAACCCCTCCTGGTCAGCAAGATTGAGATTGGCCAGACAACCGAAGGACGCCCAATCAATGTCTTGAAGGTCAGTCTTCGTTTGGATGCTCATTTTGGAGGGAGGACTTCTGGAGGGGGGGGGGAAAGTTGTCGTGTCTTTTCAACATAACTAAACCCCAAGAGAAGAGAAGATTGGTAGATGAGCATTGAACTGTGGAGATCTTTGTGGTGTTCTTGTAGACCAGTGGTTCCCAAACTTGGCAACTTTAAGACTTGTGGACTTCAACTCCCAGAATTCTCCAGCTGGCTGGAGAATTNGAGAGAGAGAGAGAGAGAGAGAGAGAGAGGGAGAGAGAGAGAGAGAGAGAGGGAAGCAGGGGAAATGCCCCAGATATGGAAGCAAAGGGAATATTCAAATTATGGCTGGTAAAATCCAGATGGATGACTATGGAAGAAGGCAGAAGTGCTGATCAGACTGACTTTGGCATCTGGGATTTTTCAGATTATTTTACTTGGCTGCACCAGAAGCTGAATGGAGGAATTATACCAGATAATGACACAAAGAACCCTAAAATATTAGAGAGAATAGAATGGAATGGAAATACAATTGGAATGGAACGGAATAGAACAGAACAGAATAGAATAGAATAATAATTGGAATAGAATAGAATAGAAATAGAATGGAATGGAATAGAATAGAATAATAATTAGAACAGAATGGAATGGAATAGAATAGAACAGAAAATAGGAATAAATAGAACAGAAAATAGGAATAGAATAGAAGAAATAGAATGGAATGGAACAGAACAGAATAGAATAATAATTAGAATGGAATGGAATAGAATAGAAAAGAAATAGAATGGAATGGAATAGAATAGAATAGAACAGAAAATAGAAATAAATAGAACAGAAAATAGGAATAGAATAGAAATAGAAATAGAATGGAACGGAACAGAACAGAAGAACAGAATAATAATTGGAATGAAATAGAATGGAATAGAATAGAAATAGAAACAGAAATTGGAATGGAATGGAATGGAATAGAATAGAATTAAAATTAGAATTAATTAGAAATAGAATGGAATGGAATAGAATAGAACAGAATAATAATTAGAATGGAATGAAATAGAATAGAACAGAAAATAGGAATAGAATAGAATAATAGAATAGGAACAGAATAAAAAATCAAAAATAGGAATAGGGACAGGACAGGACAAGATTCTTTATTGGCCAAGTGTGATTGGACACACAAGGAATTTGTCTTCAGTTCATAAGCTCTCATTGTGCATAGAGCCAAGGTGGCGCAGTGGTTAAATGCAGCACTGCAGGCTACTGCTAGATCAGCAGGTCAGCGGTTCAAATCTCACCGGCTCAGGGTT